ACATTGCTAGTCTCCTCCTCTAAGTTATATAATTTAGGTGTCTGTTAATACTGTATATGTTGTTCTGTTACTTATAACAAGCCCTTAAAACTTCTTCATGTGTGGCTTGGTGTTAATAAATTCTTTTAGTTCCTTACATGTCCTCCTGTCTTGAATGTTACTATTGCAAGGTAAAGGAGTCTAGTCTAGAGATTTTTTTTCTTTGAGGACTAATATCTCCTGCCATTCCTTTCTTGCTTGTGGTGTTTCTACTGAAAAATCTGCTGACAATAGATTCCCTTATAGATCACTTTTTTTGCTTATGATATTTTTACTAGTCTGTCCTTTTCACTGGCTTTCAACAGTTTTATTATTAAAAGGCTTGGTGTGTGACTGTGTAGTATTATTTTATTTGGAACACTTTAGGACTCTTGGATCAGAACATCTGGTTCATTGCCCAGATCGAGATGGTTCTCAGCAATTATTTCTTCAAATAAATTTTCTATGACTTTCTCTTTTTTTCTTCCGGGACCCCAATGATACAGATGTTATTTCTTTTTAGTTTATTCCAAGGATTCTGACATATTTTCATTTTTTAAAATTCTTTTTTCTCTTTGTTGTCCTATTTGTGTTCTCCAATATTGTGCTTTCAAGTTCTCTAATTCTCTCCATTGCCTGTTTTTGCGTGTTGTGTTTCTTAATTCAGTAATAGTATTTTTTAGCTCCATTAGTTCCGATTATAACTGTCTTGTATTTTCTCCATCGTTAGTCTGCTCATGTTTTATACCATGCTTTGTTTTGTTCATTGTTTTTTGGTTTTTGAGTCCCATGAGCATTATTATCACTGGTACCTTGAACAGGTATATTCTGCAGTTCGTTTGACTGAGACTTCTCTCATGGGTTTTTTTTTTTTTTTTTTTTTTTGCTCCTGTATTTGTGATATGTTTATGTGTTTCTTCGTTTTCTCTTAAGTTTTGATGGATTGTGTTAAGGATAGACTTTTAAAACTTCTGTCTTGGTACCTGTTGAAATGATTAGAGAACTGGTCCTGACAAGGGATAATAGGTAGAAGGAACGAGAACAGTAGAATATCGAAGAGTCACCTTCACTAAGCACCAGGGATTCAAGCTTCCTGCTGTGCTGTGGGGTCCAGGGTGTATATGGTGGGGGTCCACAGGGATCCCTTCCTTTAGGCTAGCTCCTTGGTTTAAGTGTTTTCTCATAATCTCCTACCGGCTTCTGCCTCTAGGCTATGTTTGAGCACTGGAGAAGCACTGGGCATAGATGGTGGTTGAGACAGAGTCACAAGTCCTGAGTTGTTCTCTTCTCTAGGACAGAGTTTTATCCTGGGGTGTTTGTGACTGTTGTGAGCAAGTGCTTAAACTCTGTTTAGTGAAAGTGTTCATTTGTTCTCTTGTTTTCAGTCCAGTGTCAGACTATAAATAGTATCCTCTTCTATGCGAAGACACAGGTCATCCAACCTGGTTCTCCCCAAGGTTCAGGCTCCAACTGTCCTATATTGGGAACATCAGTCTCAAGCCAATATCATCACTATGCACCCCTGAGCCTATCATTTTTCAATAGTGCTAATTTTGTGCATGCCTTCTCCAGCACAGAGCTGGGCCCTCAAAATCCCTGCTGTGGATATGTGCCCCCTGAGTCAGCAACTATAAGGGTGTCCCATGCAGCAGATAGCCCCCCATTCTCAGGGGTTGTACTGCCCAGTATCACTGTAAACACAGTTCAGTCCCCTTCTGCTGGACTGTTGTTCCTGATATGTAGTAAGTACAGTATATACTTTTTTGTTTCAGGAGTTGTTGGTTTTGCTCTGCTGCAGTTTAGTTGAGTATATGGAGGAGGTGAGCCCAGAATCTTCACTCTTCCATTTTTATCACACTCCCCTGGTCACTAACATAAATGCAAACTAACACACCAAAACAATAGTTGTAAATATGATGTTGGTGGTGAGCAGCTTCTCAGATCTATTGAGGATTTCGTCTGAAGAAAACTACTTATATCAAAGGAGGATACTGTCTACATAGCAGAACAATGTTTCTTAAGTGGTCCATGAGTCCCTCAAAGACTTTATTCCTACTTGTTTAGCCTTTGATTTTGGAGATAATCAATATGGTCACCATGTTGGATAGCACAGAGCTAAAGGAATTTCCTAACTATACTCTGCAATGGTTAATTTTATTGTGTCTTAACTGGGCCATCATGCACAGATATTTGTTCAAACATTATTCTGGATGTTTCTGTGAGGGTGTTGTCTGGATGAGAGTTACACTAAAATCAGTGGACTTTGAGTAAAACAGATTCCCTTCTATAATGTGGGTGGGTCTTATCATTCAGTTGAAGGCCTGAATGAAAAGGCAGCATCCAGGGGCCTCCCTGGTGGCACAAAGGTGTAAGTCTCAGCACTATGAAGCTATCCACAGCCTCTGCAGCACAAGTTCGATCCCCTGGCCAGCCAGGGAGCAATCCACATGGCGCAGCAGACCTTTCCTGTCTTGCCCACTGCTCCCCTCATCAGTGTATTTCAGTAGATCCACTTGTTCTGCTTCCTGCTCTGTCTCTGGTGAATCCTCTCTCACACACCCGCCCCCCGCACCTCTAGCCTACACCCCTGTTCCAGTATGCATAAATAAATACATATTTTAAAAAAAAAAGAAAGAAAAAGCAGCATCCAGCCTTCATCTACAACATCCGCTCTTCCAGGTTCTACAGTAGTCTGCCTTTAAACTCCACCAAAACTCTTCCCTGCGTCTCCAGCATCCCAGCCTCAGCCATCAGGTTTTGGACTTGCTAAGATTCCACAATCATGGGAGTCAATTCCTTAATATAAATCTATATAATCTTTTTTCCTATTGGTTCCATTTCAGTGGGATTCCTAATAAAGTCTGTAAGTCAAACTGTGCTATCTTCTTTACTAAGGAATTCTTCCTAGCAGCACTCTACCCATTGGCGGTCACAAAGGTTGAATCAGGGAACTACAGATGCTAATATAGCTGGACATTTCCACTCTCCTAGGAACAGTGATTCTGAGCCCAAAGAAAGGGACCCAGTGCCAGGTGGCCCCCGGGAGAAGGTGACAGTGGCGACACACCCACAGGCGGAGTTTAACAACTGTCTTGAAGTTCTCTCCGTCTGCGGTGAGGATCGCTCCCCAGGGGGTGCTGGGCAGCTCCAGACAGGGTATCAGGCAGACTAATATGCGCAGACACCAAAGCGCTCTATGCCATGCGTTTTCTCTGTAATACCTGCTCCACCCTCTTCTGGCAAGGCTTGGGAGACCCCGGAGGTGACAGCTCACAGCCCACAACAGACGCACAGCGAATGTCCATCTTCCCTGAGTCCAGCACCGACCCTGTCCTTCGCAGCCAGCGCTCTCGTGCATCCCGGAAGCGCCACCTCCATGCACATTTTTCTCAGTCCTGCAGCAAATATTGCTCCAGGTGACTTTCCTCCCCACGGCCAGCTAAATCAAGACTGGGGAACCGGGAAGAGAATTAGCAAACACATTTTTGAAAGAGAATAGCTGGACACCAGCACAACAACGCATCTGAAGACTTTTTACCTTCCTTTCACACAATATTATTTCGTTCATATTTGCGAATAGGAATTCACACCCTAACCTATGCAGATCCTGAAATGCTAAAGAGAACAAATAATCAAACATGCAAGTTACGTTCACATTCTGGATTTTTAGCTGTTTCCATAGTGTTGTAGGACTAATTGTGACCATAATTATTGTCTGTGAGATGCGAGGCATTTTTTATGAAAACTCCAGGAAAACACTCCCAACCACCCACCCCCATGCCCTTAAAATTTGTTTTGTTTTAAAGATTTATTTATTTATACAAGAACCGGGGTACAGGCCAGACGCGCGGGAGGGTGAGAAGATTCACCAGAGACAGAGTGGGGAACAGAACAGGCAGACTGGCGAAATACACTGCTGAGGGAGCAGCCGGCTAGACAGGTGAGGTCTGCCGCGCCATGTGGGACCCTTGCCGGCCGGGATTGAACCAGCACTGCAGAGGCTGCGGACAGCTTCACAGCGTGGCGCTCAAACGCCTGTGCCACCAGGGAGGCCCTGCCCTTAAAAATTAAAATAGGGGCCTTTCTGGTGGCGCAAGGGGTTAAGCACCACACTATGAAGCAATCCGCAGCCTCTGCAGCACGAGTTCGATCCCCGGCCTGCCAGGGAGCAACCCACATGGCGCAGCAGACTTCTCCTGACTCGCCCGCTGCTCCCCTCAGCAGTGTGTTTCGCCAGTCTGCCTGTTCTGCTCCCCACTCTGTCTCTGGTGAATCCTCTCATCCCCGCATCTCTAGCCTGTACCCCAGCTCTTGTATGCATAAATAAATAAATCTTAAAAAAAATAAAATAATGTTTTGAAAAACTTAAGAAACCAAATTCCCTACCCTGGTACCACTTGCAAATCCTGCCAATAGAAAGCGCGGCTTTCAGCATCCCCAAAGCACTTTGGCCCCGCGCCCCGCCCCGCTCCTGCCCCTCCCAACTGGCAGCGGAGGGCGCCCTCCTAGCCAATCAACGTACCACGGGGCCCTCCTCCCGCGCGTCTTTCAAAGGCTACCTGGGGACCAATGAGCGGTTAGAGGCCGAGCCGGGGCACAGTGGGGGACGGAGGAAGAAACAGAAGGAGGGTGTGATTGGTTCCTCGAGGACCCCGCGTCTCGCTTCACAGCGGGTGCACCAATCAGGGGCGGGCTTGGCGCAGGGCTGGTGCTGAGACGCAGGTGCTGCCCGGGGTAGGCGGCGGTGGGTCGCGAAGTGGGCGGCCAGCGATGAAGCCGGTGAGTCTGGCGGGCTGGGGAGGGTCGGAGCCGCAGGGACGGGCGTGAACCTGCGGCCAGTTCTTGGGCCCGGAGACATCCGGAGCCTGATGGCCGCACGACTCGCGCAGTAACCGTCGGGGTCCGGGAGGTGGAGGTGGCGCTGCCCGGGATGCGCGAGAGCGCTGGCTGCGAAGGACAGGGTCGGTGCTGGACTCGGGAAGATGGACATTCGCTGTGCGTCTGTTGTGGGCTGTGAGCTGTCACCTCCGGGGTCTCCCAAGCCTTGCCAGAAGAGGGTGGAGCAGGTATTACAGAGAAAACGCATGGCATAGAGCGCTTTGGTGTCTGCGCATATTAGTCTGCCTGATACCCTGTCTGGAGCTGCCCAGCACCCCCTGGGGAGCGATCCTCGCCGCAGACGGAGAGAACTTCAAGACAGTTGTTAAACTCCGCCTGTGGGTGTGTCGCCACTGTCACCTTCTCCTGGGGGCCACTTGGCACTGGGTCCCTTTCTTTGGGCTCAGAATCACTGTTCCTAGGAGAGTGGAAATGTCCAGCTATGTTAGCATCTGTAAACCTAGCTGGGAGAGCCTGATGAATGGTTCACACCAATTCAAAATCTTTACTCATCAACCGCTTTTTAAAAAAAAAAAAAAAAAAAAAGGAAAAACAGATGCAAGAAACGGAAGCCTTGCCTGGCTCAAGGTATCTACCTGTTGCAGGGACTTCATTTGTATTGAGCTGATAATATAACAGATAATTCCAAAGCAACTAAATCCATAGTCTAAATTCGCTCTGTCGCTCTGTAATGTGATCTTGTAGTAACAAGAGTGTTAGAGAATATAGCTTCAGAGCTGGAAAGGGCATGGGGTGGTTCCGCTTGCTAATCCCCATGCTTTCATGTGGAGGGAAGTCAGCTGTCCTTCACTCCTGGCAGTCTGTCTCTTTCTCCACTTGACTCCATAAGGGGAAGAGGGAGTGGTCTCATCCGGGTTTGGGAGGAATTGAACACAAGCGACTCAACCCTCTCTTCCCTTCTCTCTGCAGAAAATGCCATTTGGGGTGCTTTCTACCACAAGAGAGCCCTGGGTTGTCCATGACTGCCTGTGACTAGGTGGATGAGGCTAATTCTAGGGTGAAGAATTGACAAGCTCACTTGACCACAGCTTTAAAGCCACATCCTCCATTTGACACTCAGTAATAAAACTAACACACTGATCTCCATTTGCCTCTCCAGTGTCTCTTCTCTCAACTGGTTTCAGCTACAGAGTAAAAGAAACGAGTGTTTTTATGGGCCTATAAAATTCCAACAATCTCCATTGGCAATACTGCCTACTGGTTTGAGTTCCAACTCCTTAGATCAGCATACAAAGCTAATTTCAATCTCTCTAGTCTAATTATTCACAAATTGGGGGCAGTTTATTCCATCTGTACTACCCCACACCAAATTACTAGGCTGTCTGGGGGTTAATGTTTGAGAAAAAGATCAGGTAAAAACTACATGTCTAGCCTCAACTCCTCTACTTTTATATCACAATTCCTGAATCCACAAGCTCTTTCTCCGTTGACCTAATTGTCTTACCTTCTTTATCTGCCTAAATACATCTTGGTTAGTCTTCAAAACCCAACTAATACATCTCCTTTGTGAAGCTTTCTCCAGTTCCATAAGTAGCAGTTTGCTCCCTTTTCTGAAGTGCAGTTTTGTGTCCACTGTAGTCCTTATAACTTTCTTCTATAATCTGTGTACACATCTGTCTCTCCATCTGTACTGAAAGCAAGCTATTTATCTTAAATGTTTGTGAACTAATGAACAAGTCCTCTCACGTTTATAGTTGCAGTAAACAAATTCAAAATAACTGAAGTGACTTGTCCAAGATTATAAAATGAGTGGCAGTGCCAAGACCAGAAGCCAGGTTCCTAGTTCCCAGTCCCAATTCTTCACTGCCTAGTGCCGTGAATATTAATATGGTGGTAAATAGCAATCATTTGTTATCAAGATGGCCAATCTCTCTGATATTCCAGATTGAATAAATTGCAAATTTGCATTCAGTGAGTGTTTATGAAAGGTTCAGCTAGCCTTTCATCTGTAAATATTCTTTACAGTTTTTTTTAACACAACTGATTTCTTTTGAAGCCTAGTTCATTGCAAACAAGTGAGTTTGACTCATCAGATGAAGATCCTATTGAAGATGAACAGACTCCAATTCAGATATCATGGTATGTTAATATTTCTGATCAATGATGGGCTACAATATTTAATATGTACATCCTAATCATTGTAGATTATAGGCCACATATTGAAAATATTTGATGATTCTCTTCTGCTGATTACATAATTCTAATCTTTAAGGGATCTTTTAACGCCATGATTCATTTACTATCTTAATATAAGGCTTTTCTTAATTTGGGGGGTGGGGTGGGAGGAGAAGGTGCTAAAATGGGGAAGTCCTTTATGCATGAGAAAAGCATAGTATAAACAAGCAAGGAGTTGAGATATGATTGGAGTGCGTTCCCATTTATTATCAAAATCTACTTATTCTTTTGCAACAAAAGAATAGTATACCAAACATAGCCGGAGACATAATTTATCATTAAGTGAAATCCTAGAACTATTTGCTACGGTAATGTACCTATTCCTATTTGAGATAAAAGCCACCTTATTAGAGATACAATAACAAAAACAGATTTTTCTAAATAAACTCAACTTTCACATCTTGGCAGTGAAGATGTGATTCTCTGCAACCAACAATCAAGTGCTTTCTCTTACCTCTGCAAATGTAAGAACTTCCCTCCTTAGGAAAGCACCATCCCTACTGGGAAGAGAAAAGAATCTAAGTGTTATTCCTAAAGTTCTTTGTTGTGCTATCTAATAGGGTTACCTTTCAATCCTCATTCTAACCTCCATTTTAAACTCAAAAATGCATCTGTTTTTCAAAGTCAGGTGGTATTTATATGATGCCTCCTGTTTTTCTGTATCTTCATCTTTAGTTTTGCAGACAAGGTGAGTCTCTGCCCCCTTTGCTCCTCCTGAGTACTACAAAGTGGGACTAGGATATCATGAGATTATTTCATTTTAGCCAAATCCAGTAAAACAAAGAATGTGTGACCTGTGATTTTTAGCATATGAAATTATATGTTTAAAGAAACCCGACAAAGAAATCTTAAAATTGTAATGTAGAATGAATGCCGGGCATGAAATTATCAGAGGGTCTTTGCCGAGCTTGTTTACCTAAGATTACTAATTCAAAATATGTATCTCACAGGGTAACTTCAGTACACTTATTTCAGCTATAGACAATCCAGGCATTATTATCTTTAAGATAAGTTTTAATTCACTTGTCATTTTTCAGACTTAAATAGTAACAAGGCAAATAAGTTCCCGTTTTGATACTTCCAATCTTTCTAGGTCTTTTTGTGACCAACACATTACATTTAATTATGAATTTTTGTTTTGTGACTATTGTAAAACTTTAAAACACCCTTCTTCAGTAACAAGCACACATCTTGATTAAGTTGAATTTCCACTTAGAATGTTTTAAAAACTGAATTAAACTTGATAATTTCTTTTCAGGCTACCCCTGTCACGAGTGAATTGCTCTCAGTTTCTCGGTTTGTGTGCTCTTCCAGGTAGGAAACACTGTAATCAGCTTCCCATTAATATACTTTAAATTAATTTGTTTAGCTAACATCATTTTCTGTACTGAATAATACAAGAATTTCCAGGCCAACAGCACTAGAAAAGGAACATAGATCTACTTTAAAACCTTTCTGGACCCACATTTATAATTCTACATTTGATAATAATTTGATAGTAATTCTACATTTGACTTAAATTAATAAAGCTTCATCACTGAGGTACAATGTGAGGTGTAGGGCTTCAGCCAGGATCTTGTTACAGAAAGCACACAGAATGAAAAAATCCTTGAAAGTTCCTGCAACTGGTAGCTGTGAATCCCTGGAATTATATCCCTAGAGTTCATATTCAAAATGGCATTGAAACATATAAATGATCATGTGGAATGACTGTCTGAAGTAGCCATATATTTATTTCAGTATATTTGTTATATATTACCAGAACCTGGCTTTTTCACTTGCCTTATTACTACTTACAGGTTGTAAATTTAAAGATGTTAGAAGAAATATCCAAAAGATACAGGTAGGTATAATTTGAGATAACCATATTAATAGGTTATTTTTAGATAACACTGAAAGTCTCTTTCTCAAAAGGAATAAACTGTAATCTCTTCTTAATATATTTAATAAATATTCAGTATTTCATAGTTTCAAACCACTGATTTATTCTAATATGTGAAGAAATGTGAAGGGCCTGGAGAACTCATCATTTACTGAACATGGCATTGCTTTTCACGGATTGTTGCTTTTCATGGATTGTTGTAGTTATATCACACATAGAAATTTTTGAGGTATGTCGATGTGAGAGAAGTGTATGTGTACGTTGATATGAGAGTGCAAATAGAAAACTGACATTGCATTGTCCACATCTTTGAACATAACTGCTCATGGACTTGACTGTGGTGATAGGAATTAAATCTGAATTGAGAACCCAGAGGTAGCAGTGAAATTGTCTGTCCTGGATAGAAAATTTAGAAAGCCAGCATCTAGACAGTCAAGCTCTAGAAAGACGGCATCTAGAAAAACAGCATCCAGAAAGGTAGAATAGGGGCTGATCATCACTTGCCCTCGGGTGTTCAGACCACTTATAGCCTCAAATCTCACAAATATACTGAATAGCCTCCCAATATGGAGTTTACATATTTCAAGATACAAATTTGGACTTTCAAATATTTTATTCTGGTTGACCTCGAATATCACAAACTTAATTGGTAAGTCAACCAATATACTTAAAATATACCAAAACAAAAATGTATATACCGTGCTTCATCTGATTTTTAAAATCTTAAAATTTTGGTCTGATTGTTCTGGAATTTCTATTTGCTAATATACTCTCTCTAATTTTTCCTAGCCTATGAAAAAGGCTTAAAGATGCTAGTAGATTACTTCACCCTTGCAGTATTTGTAAAGATTTTCTGCTTTAGAGACAGCCATCATGGTAGAAAATTTCCATTTGGAAAACATTTAAGTCATAAGCAAAATATTATTTAAATTATTGGCTCAAGAACCAATTATGCACATTTACAATGTGTGTTGGAGAGATCTCGAAATCTCCCTGCAGCAGTTCCTATGGTTCTGTCTCATTTTTTTCTAAGAAAGCTTGAAATTCACTATATAGTAGAAATTATCTGTTGTATACAAAGGCAAATAAAAAATTACCTAGCCTTAATAATTATGAAGTATATTAACTTAATCATTTAACCTCAATTTAATAGGTTAAGTCCTGTTGCAAGTACAAAAATGTAACAATGTCTAGAGTAGCACTGTATTTCATGTATAAAATGAATTATTAATGAGACGGTTTTTT